AAAAAAATTGAAAAACAAAACTAAACGTTAAAATGAAAATCTAAAAGCACAACCAGTGAAAACCACAACAACCCAAGATCAAAACCAAAAATTAAAGGAGATATATATTTTTTTAAGGCAGAAGTGGAAAAGAAGCCACACGTTGGGTCTAGCCAATTGAAACCTCAATACTCCGGGAGTATTGGGTTTTTGGAGGTGTAAGACTTCCAAATTCCAGAAGAACTGAAAAAGAGGTGATGAAAAAAATACTAAAAATAGGGCTAAGCTCAGAGGAACAAATTTAAATGGCCAAAGAGACACTAAATCTCAAGAGAGTGTTCGGGCTAGCTTCAATGCACTGGATTGTGGCTTTAAAGATATAAACAACAATAACAAGAGATAATGAGCTAATGAGACAAGAAAGAAATGAGACCTGGTAATATCAAACGTGATACAACTGAAGAAGGTCACTGGGAATAAATTTATAGAAAGAGAACAATAAGAAGAGAAAAGAAGGGCGCCAACTCAACGATAGTTGAGATTTTGAAGTAACAAATGAATCTGGAGATAATACTCTGAAATGCAAAAATACTAAATAATAATCTTGTTTTGCTATGTTATATACTGGTTAGTAGAACTGAAATAAAACTCAAAATAGCAACAATAAATATATTTATAAAAAATGTATATAGGTATATGTGTATAAACAATTTACATATAATGCAAAGCCAAATAACAGTGGTAGTGGATGGTGTACACATACAATGGGACCTAATAGCCCCTCAACAAACGAATAGTCACTACCACTGGCCAAATAAAATATGAAATATTAGTATAAACCAAGAATAGTCCGTAGGGTAGCCTAAGTCTTAACACTAAGGTTAATAATTTAGATTTAAATAGTTCTACTAAAATGATAAATAATTACTGTATTGTACAGATATCAACAATGATAACTCTGTTACAATTATATTATCTCAAAAGTGAGTTCTCAATACTCATTATATATATATATATATTTAAAAAAAAAAACACATTAAATTTATGTCCCTCTCCCAATATCAAATTGTATCATATCCAATGTATTGTATTAAAAAATATATTACAGCAAAAGTGAGTTTGGTCAGTACTCTTAAAATCCTATTTAAAAAAAACTAATAAAAACAGGTAATATATTTTCCCTCTCCCAATAATATCAAAATTATATTTTATCAAAATGTAGTTACTTGATCATATGCATATGAAAAGTTAACAGTAAATAGAAAGTAATACGTAATACAAAAAGTCAAATAGTTAAACAACTTATCTTTACAGCACTATAAGTCCATAGGAAAAACTCCTCTTGGCACGGCTACATCAGTTTATGGCTGTAAAGACGAATCCTGGTCACAAAAGCCACAACCAGTCACTGGTCTCTGGGTGACAGCAAAATCCACGGGTTTGCTAACTATTCAAGAAATTTAGTTACTTGAGACCTTGAGGGAATATTCTGAAGAGAATATCCTCAAGTGAAGTGACGGAATCTAAAATTATTATTTAATTTAATAAATACAATTCAATAGGTGTAGCAGCATGGATTGACTGCACCAAAACAAAACATCAAAACATTAGGTTATGTCAACATGTCAGAACTTCCGAATTTACTTCGTAGACATGACAGGCTTGCGCCATGAAAAGAACATGCGCAGAATATAGAAGGCTGTCCAATATTTGTCGAACCTTTTTATATTCCACCAAAAAGGTTAGATACAAAATGGGAACCAAAAAAACTTAATGATAACGACGTGGAATAAAACAGAATTTAAGTTTAACTATATAAAAAAAATGACCTTCTGTTCTTTGCAAGTAAATCAAGGAAATTTTATATTTAAATTATTTCGAAATAAACAATAAATCTCTAAAGAAATACTAAACTACAATGATAAATTTGATTATATGATAAAGAGATAATACGTATGAAATGATTTACTTACATGGAGTCGCAGCACGCCAAAAAAATCTTCCTTTTATGTGGAACTCTTTAGATTGTTGATTTTAAAAATTTTACTTATTATTATTACTAAGATATGTATTTTATTTATGAATTAATTTATTCTTCCCCAAATTATCTTCCTTGCTCCAATTCCGTCACTTTGAAGGTGAAAACATTTCACCGGTTGACGTGGCTGCGTTAACGAGTTCTGACCAAAACTAATCGTTCCGCTTCCTCATAAAATCGATCTTCCTTTCAAAGCGATAACAGCGCGTGGGTGGGGAAATGTCGATTTAAAATCGATCGTAGGCGGGTAATAAAAATTTCTAAAGGGGTTAATCAGTAGCGTAAACGCTACATAAGGAAATCCGTTCAACAAATATTTGGACTCGACATCAGCTGCAAGCCAGAATTTAATTCCAAACTTATCGGGTTTATTCGCCATGTACTGGGTAAAGCGGCATCTTGCCTTCGTGGAAAAAAGCTATTCGTCGATAGTTATATTTTCGCCAGGTGTATAACATAATATACAATTCTCTATAAATGGGTTCCATATTCCTGACGCAAGTGCAAATTTATCTGTTGATAATCGCTCAGACCTGGTATTTCTCATATCAAAACGGATAAAACTCATTATTTGTGTAAATTTGTTTCTAGACATCGTCTCTTGAAAAAATTTTGGACCCCTGTACCAGACCACAGCATCTTTATGCTAACATTTCGTGCCATATAAGCTCCCCTAGCATACAGTGAGGATATCTTCTTCTTCTTCTTAGTCGTTAACCTGATGCAGGTATCGTGATATCATGAAGCTGTTAGGTAATTTTTCCAATGTTCCTCCACGTTTTTCTATCTTCTGCCAATCTAGCACATTCTGACAATGGAGCGCCAATGGTAGCAACAATATGGTCCGTGTATCGTGTAGGAGATCTACCTCTACTTCTTTTGCCTTCTACTTTTCCCTGGATGGTAAGTTTTTCAAGACCATTTCTTCGAAGCACATGTCCAAAATAGCTTATTTTCTGTTCTGTTATTTGTGTTCTTAGTCTTTTCTTTATGTTTAGCTGGACCAGTATGGATTCATTTGTTCTTCGAGCCACCCATGGTATTCTCAGCATTCGTCTCCAGCAGTACATCTCAAATACATCTATGTTCTTTTTGTCTTTCTCAGTAAGGGTCCAGCATTCCGATGCATAAGTAAAAACTGGAAAAACTAGACTTCTTACTAGTCTCAGTTTTGTATCGGTAGTAATTTCATGGCTTTTCCAAATTTTTGTTAATTTTGCCATAGCGCTTTTTGCGATTGCTGACCGCCACTTTATTTCTTCAGTACAGCCTCCTTTGTTGGTTATTAATGTGAGGGAGGATATAAATGCTTTGATTTCTTTAATAAAAATTTGCCAATTTTCATCTTTGAGTTTTCTTCTACCTTCAGCAACAGTACATGATTTTATGTTACGGAGTATGCATTCATCAATCAACAGCCGCCATGCACTAGCTGCAGTATCTCTAATAATGTTTCTCTTGGCATGAGGGGTTGGTCCAGCAGCTTCCTTTAGAACATTTTGACTGGTACGCCTTCCTAAAATGAACGAGAGAAATTAGTATGCAGGTATATACTCATTTATTTATTTATTTATTTAAATGGCACCGTAATAAATAAAGAATGGAACAACAACCAAGAAATAAGAGCGCACACCGGAAAAGCTAGATCCACCTTCAACCAGATGGGGGCCTTCTTCAAGAGCCATAACCTCTCTCTTGGTATAAAAGTAAGGATGCTGCGATGCTACGTCTTCTCTGTTCTTTTTATGATGTTGAATAGTTGACCTTGACGAAGATATATGCAGAAAATTGGAAGCATTCGATCTGTGGCTAAATCGGCTAACACTTTAAATCCCGTGGACCACTATCAAATCTCGAAAGTTACAATATTTCGAAAACATTGTGCAAGAAAAAATATTTGGAAAACGGGGTCCAGGAAGAAGAACATCCTGCAGATAAGGTAAATATTGCCATGATTATCGCGAATATTCGTGACAAGAATATGCTCAAAAATATTATACACCTAAGCGAATACATAAATAGAAGCTACTAATATAATATAGTTGCTTACCTGGTGTACTAACATTGTTGTCAAGTAACTCCCATCCTATAATATCTATGGAAGAATTCTCTAAATTGCTTCTGCGAATTCCACTTACCTGGTTGGTAATCATTTCTGAAGATGCATTGAAGTCTGCATTCGAAGTTGAAGCAGAAGTACTGGGCATCACCTCAATCTCAACTTCACTTTCAGAATCACTGCCCGATGAATGTCATTGATCAACTGTATTAGGGACATACTCGTCAACTTCATTATCGGATACATCTTCATCAGATAACTCTGCTACAGATTCATCTTCTGACAAATTCTGTAGACACTCTAATAGCTGCTGAGTCAAATATCGACGAGACATGATAACAGCAGAAATAATAAAAATCACATAGTAAAATTAATCAAAATACAGATTAAACATGCAATTGCAAAGAATATACTCAAACTACATACTAACAAATATTTTCGATGTATTTTATACACAAAACTACCTCGTCATTAGGACCGCATTTTTCTAGGTAGACATCAACATAAATATATTCAAAATGTAATTATACTAAGTACCTGTAGACATTAAATCCTGAAGTAAATAATAAAGTCCCAAATCATAAATTTTGTAAAATAAATATAAATGAGTAATACTCTAGACTAATGAGGGTCGAAAATAGAAAGCAGTCAAAATGACTGCTATATGGTAGTTCTAGGTATACGTTATCATATCTTAAAAAGTAATTACGCTAAGTACCTGTAAACGAGAAATTATAATCTTCAAATAAATCTAGGAAAAGTCATAAATTATCAAGTTTCTAAAACATTTATGAATAGATAATACAGAGTGTCAAAAATGAAAAGCAGTCAAAATGACCGCTCTGGTGCTTCTAGTGTTAATGCCTTACTAGTTTATTTTAATATCTATCTTGCCGACTTACTAATAACTTACTTTGTTTTTAG